GTCGTCGTTGTGTAATTGTTTAATTCTTTAGAATTCATGAACAAAATAAACACACAGGTTATTAATAGAAGTTTTGTTGAACAAAATTTAATGATCAATTGAACATTGTTTTCCCTATATTTATGGTGGTGGTGGTGGTCGTGGTAGTGTGATCATAATGATCCATTAAGATAATCTTTTGAGGAACAACAACAAAAAAAATTGGATCACAATGATAATGGAATCAGATTTTTTTTTTGCTTTAAAGTTTTTCATTCCGCATTCATTTGCAATACAAAAAGAAAGAAAAGATCCATTAGCCATTCAATTCAATTCATTTCATTCAAAAATTATTATCAAAATAGTACCATTATCATCATCATCATCATCATCAGATTATTGTATTGTGGTTTGTGTCGAAATAGTGTCGGAATAATATTTTGTTTGGCAAAAAAAAAAGTTGACATCCTAATGAATTAGATAAATGTGTTTGTTTGTTTGTTTGTTTTGAATTTAGGTTCGAAGAACAATTTTTGGCAGGTTTTTTTCCTTCGAATAATGATAATAATAGAATCAAAAAATAATGGCAATTTTCTTTTTGAATGGAAAAAATCAGTATGTCGGCGTTGTAATTTATATTTTATTTCACTCATTATTGGCTGTCGAAATTGTCAATTCTTACAAGGTTAGATTTTATGATTTGTTTGTTTTGATCAAATATTTTTCTGATTGATAATGATAAAATAAATGATGTTAATGAATTTACTTTGATATTCATTCATTATTGTTTCAAAAAAATCAATCATTATTGCTTTTTCAAAAAAAAAATCAATCATAAAAACCATTAATTTTAATTATAAAAGGAAAGGAAAACTTACCGATAACAAAACGTACATAGTGACGGCAGTAATGTAATGGACACATTTTTTCCATAGTAAATGTGATCGATCGATTGAAAAAAAAGTGGAAACAAAAAATTGATTATTGGCTATCGAAAGTAAATTGGTGAAAGGAAAATAAACTAAACTAAGTTAATTTAATGATATATTTTTTTTGAAAAAACCGATCATCAAAAGGCGTACATTGTTTCGATCACTTAAAATCATCATCATAATCCCTGGATGTGTTCAAATCCATTATTTTAGGCTATGTGCTCATAACAGTAATCATCGACAAGTGATTTTCTCGCCCAAAAAAAAAACGAAACAAAATTGCTGTTATAATTAAATTTTCACGAATATATTGGTCATTTCAGGTGAAATGATGATGATTATTATTGTCTTGCTGGCGCCAATCTGTTGTTTCGTGCGAAAGTAAGTTTGTGATTTTCGATTTTCTTTTCTTCTTCTCATTCGATTATAATCACGATGATGATTTTTGTTTTGGAAAGAAAAAAAAACGAAAAATTACCCGATTGATTATTATGATTATAAACTGTTTTTCATTTCTCTTTCATTTCATAATATTTTCGATTTCAACAAAATCAAATAATGATCATAAGAAAAATTGTATTACCTAATAATAAAATGATGGCCAATGAAACAAAAATTCCATAATAATTATCTATTTGTAACAAATGAATAAATGATTAATGTGATTACAAAGAATAAAAAATGTAAACAAAAATCGAACGAAATCGAACAACAACAAAAAAATCGAACATTCGAAATGACAGGTGAACGACAATATATGACGTTATTTCGTTATTTTTTTTTCGAATAAACATATGACGCAGCTCGGATCTTGATGTCGAGATGATGAAGATAATTTTGGCCTTATATACAGCCAAAAAATCGATTTGAATCGATTAAAATCTGATCAAACTAATCAGTTTGAAAACATACATACATTTGGGCATATAACTTGAAACATCCATTTATTTAGACATTTGATGATGATGATCATCATCATCATCGTCGAACATCATGGCGGTAAGTAGCAGTCAGTTAGTAATTTCCGTGTTTGATCTGATTTTGATTTTCTACTCGTTTTTCACTTTTTTCATGCCGTAATGGAAAGAAAGTTTGTTTTTTTTTAAAAAACGTGCATAGTTTGATTTTCACCATAAATCAAAAATGTGTTTATCATTTTCTTGAATTTGAATGATCTCATATCGGATTGAAAGATTATTAAAAATTTACTCGCTGTGATAAACAGAATTAAAGATTTAGACATGAAAAAAATGTCATATCTGTAACAAATCGATTGATATTCAATCAATATTATTATTATTATTGGATAAGGTCATGGAATGATCAACAAACAAAATGAAAAAATATCAACAGGAAATTAAATTGATTTTCATTTTTCGTTATCATTCGATTGACTGATGATGTCGTGTATATTTAGTACATCGATCGAACATTATGAACCGAAAATCATTTTTTTAAAAACTGTTGAATGATGTAACGGGGCAAAAAAAAACGAGGAAGAAGAGTCATCCGACATAGGTATCCTAACCAATTGACATTTGTTTCGCTTAATTTTCATTAAGTTTTTTTGTTTGTTTTCAGTTTGTTTTCGTTTCCTTCTATGATACGAAATAAGATCTTGATTTTGTTCCATGACATTAACAAGACAAGTCCATGACCGCAGCATATGTCCGCAGTATATAAATTTCAATTTCTCTATCTATCTATATGTTCGGATTTAATATATTCAAATACTTCCTTTGCAAGCAAGAAATACGGGAAAAAAAGTATTAATTTTCCAATGTCTCGGTAACGTTAGTCACTACCCATTTGAAACTTTTAAGAAAATGTTTCAAACTTATTTCTCTTCAAGATGAACAGCAAGTAAATTATTTTGTTTTTTTTGATTAATCATTATCATCCGTGGCAAGCAAATGTGATTAACAGTGTTAAAAAGAAGAAAGCTCTCAACTTTGCACAAAAAACAAGAAAAAATTGATTAATTCAATTTCCGTTTTGTTAAACTTTTTTTCAACAAAACAAAAATCCCTATCATTGATTTTCCTTATATGATCATCATGATGATATTACCTGGTCATATATAAAAGTTCAACGCATGAAAATTATTTTGATTCATTTTTTTTTCAGTTTTTTCCCGTGATCTTGTAACGATAAAAAAAATTTTGACTTTGTTTTTTTCAAAAAAGAAAAATTTGACAACCAAACAAACAAACATCTCTGCATGAAATACCTGCCTATCACAATGTCATCATCATCATCAACAACGAAAAAATGGTTCATTGTTTTATCCGTTGGATTTTGTTTAATTCATACAATAAATGCAAATCCATATGGAGGTTATGGTGGATATGGTTAGTTTGTTTTTTTTTGAAATAAAATTGTTCTTTTTTACATTCAATTATTTATGCTTTTTTTTTCAATTTATTATCATGTTCGTTGTTGTTTGTTTGTTGATATCTTTATTCTTTGGGTGAAAAATTTATTCATTTAAAATGATGATAATAATAGCTCCACCAACTATAAAACAAAGTAAGTCCAAAACAAAAAATTCTTTGTAATGGAATATAGACGTCGCCTGTATATATCTAATTATCATTTTATTCTAATTATTCATTTATTCTTTTGTTAGCTGCTATGAAAATTGAAGCAAGTGTTGAAATTGAAAAACCAGGTGGCCCACCAAAGCCACCCGACTATGAAGGTAAATACTGTTATTCCTTAAACTTTGATTGATTTAATCATTAATAATAATTTCAGGTGGGACAAGACTTGAACTTGGTGTTCCAAAAGCGCCTGCTTATCCACCACCACCATCATATTCGCCACCATCATATTCACCACCATCATATCCGCCGATGAAACCATATGGTTATGGTCCACCGAAAAAATATGGTCCACCAAAATATGGTCCGCCAAAATATGGACCACCCAAATATGGACCACCCAAATATGGTGCACCAAAATATTATAAACTTCCATCCACTGATGTTCCTTATTATGAAACAACATCGAAAAAATCTCCATATAAAAGTTCTACAAGTCATAAGGCAATATATGCACCAAGTGAAAACAATGATGAAACTCAATATCATGGACCAACAGATTATGAACAATATCAACATTCATATCCACAAGAACAATATTATAATTATCAACAAGATCATTATAGTAATCAACATAATGATCATTATAATTATCAAGCTGAACCACATCAATATTCGTCACCACCAACTGAACATGAAACGTTTAGTCGAAGTGTTGAAGAACCACAACATCATGTTAGTCATCGTGTTATTTATCTACCTGCTGATGCTGATTCTGATCAAGTATATCAAGCACCACCAGCATCACCATCATCAGATTATTATGAAAATTCACAAGGTGAAAAATATGAAAGCACTTCGGTACCAGTACAGGATTCACAAACAACAATGTATCATAAAATTTCACAAATTTCTTCAAGTAATCAACCAATAGGTAAAGATCTTTCTGTTTATCGACATGAAAATCGTGGTACTGTCATAAATATTCCTGCTGCTTCGGAACAAATGATGACATTCGTAAAACCGGATGCTGATGGATATCATATGATGGAAAGCCATCGGTACAGCCAATCTGCTGTGCCAGAAATTGAATTGAGTAAGATCACAACAATTAATAATCCAAAATTTTTAAATATATTGTCAAAACAGTATGAACAGCCAATGATAAAGCCCGGAACAGAATTAGAAGCACTGCAAACGCAACAATCCCAATCTATACAGACAACAAGATCGCAATTTGAATTACAGAATTTTTTACCGATGCCCATTTCAACTTTATCGGCCAATAACGATAACATGATAAATTATCCAACGAGTATCGAACATTCTGATCAATTTGCAACAACCGAACAATTTCCAATTTCGGATTATTTAAATCTTTCACCATCATTTTATAATAACGAAAACGATGGATATGTTTTGGTACCATTCAATGATCTATTAACTGCAGCCGATTATTTATAATGATACATTCTATATTTCATCTCTCATCATCATTCTATACTCATTCATGAATTTTTTTTCCAATTAGTTTGTAAAATTAGTTTTTTTTTGTAATAAAAAAAAATAATAAAAAAATTTTAGTAAAATCAGTAATTTCATTTTTTTTTTTGAATAAAAAAACAATATCGCCATCTATTGCATGAATTTGAAGTTGTTAATGTTTTTTTTTTGGTTGATAGATGGCAATAGTATATCCATGATAATTGAATGTCACTTTTTTTCAAAATTCGAATGAAATATTGTTCAGAATATTCAGTTGTTGATGATTAATTGCTTTGATTTTTCAAAATATTTTCACATTCTCCAAGCGAAACACAATGTCCAAGTGATTTATTACTTTCGCTTACACCGGAACGTACGAATCCTTTTTGACAGAAACAACCAGATCTACAGACCATAATACATGGTCTAACTTCATCTTTATTTGCACAGGTATCCGGACATGCAGTACCACATTCATGATATTCTTCATTTTCGGGGCAATTCATTTTCATATTTTCTATAAAATAGAATAAAATGATGATGATAATGAAAAGAAAACTGAAAATACAATAATAATTACCTGCATTGTGCATTGCGGTTGTTGTAGGCATCTCTAATGTATGAGCCCATAATGGCGTCACAAAAAGAAGAATTGTTATGATGATTAGTTTCATTATATTTTATGAAAATTTTAAAACAATTTTGAAATGTTTTTTTTTGCTTTTATACGATCGGATGATGAAGGATATATGCTGAATGCCATTCGCTGGTGAAATAGCAAATGTTTAAATATGATTCGTTCAGCCGTGATACGATAACTACGAAACCAATCATCCATATTGATTGATTGATTGATTAGATTTGATTTGGGAATTTCGGATTTCATATTATTAATTATTTTGCTTATTCATCTGGCAATGATTGTAACAACAACAACAAAAAAAACCGATGCATTTATCAATATATGTCAGGGTTTTAATTACAATTTTTTTGCATTTTGATTGACAGAATTTTGATTCAACACAGAACATGTGTTTTTTATCAATTTATTTTCATTTATCATTTTTCGTTTGGTTTGGTTCAGGGTATCAAAAATCGTATGATTTTAATTATCATCATTATTGGAAAATTTTGTTTTGAAAAATGCAGGAAATATATGGCTGCTCAATCGAATAAAATGCTGTAATGTATAAATTCGATACGAGATGTCGCATCATGTTCTGAAAAAAATGAGAAAATTCTGAGCATTTTTTTTCGAAACATTCGAAATCGAACAAAATCAAAAGGTTCGATCGAATATTTTCAAAATGTTTCATTTTTATTTGTTTGCATGAATACATTCAAGTGAATCTATCTATCGATCGATAGTAACTCTTTGAAAACAAAAAAAAAGGGACATTGTTAATTTAAAAACAGAATAGAATCTCGAACCACATATACAAATGATTTGTAATCATAACAAAAATCGATGAAAAATTTATTTGAAGAATAACATATTTCACGGTTTAGTGATTTAGTTTCAAATTACCAAAATGAAAAAAAACGTCATCCGATGATGATGAGAAAACGAAATCGAAATGAAACAAAACAAATTAAGGTCCCTTCGGAAATATAATCCAAGATAATGATGATGATGTGGATTTTGATTGAAAAACAAAATTTGATCCAAAACTGAATTTCAAATGATGATGATCATCGTAATAAGTTTTTTTTCAAAGGTAATCATTTCGATTTTGATCCATTTCGACACATTTTTAACAAATATTTTTTCTCCCATTATAAAACTCAACTGAAAAAAAAAGTTTGCCAAAAATATCATTCGAATAATAATGGAAAAAGACAAATAAAAAGAAACTATTGTAAGTAATGCTGACAATAAATATTATCATCGTTTTCCATTTCATTTACTATCAAACTAATCATCATCATCATCTAGTATCCCATCATCTATAACTATTATTCTGCGATTCATTCGGTTGTTTATTTCTGAATGAATGAATAAAAATTCACATTTCAACAGCAACAACAACAAACAAACAATCATTGTGTGTCCAACCAGAGAAAAAGCTGAGAACCGAAGAATATAACTGATGATTTCGATTTGTGAATAATACCATTTGGGAATGTTGTTGTTGTCGTTCTTGTCGTCAATGATGCCAATAATGATGATGATGATGATCGAGCAAATAAAATTGGGAAGCAAAGACCTGTCGCCGAAAAAAAATCATGGCAAAAAAAAAATCCATTTTTTCTCTTCAAAATGATAACAATAACGACAACAACAACAACAAGAAATGATTGTATTCAAACAAGCAACAACAACAACATTTCTGATATCCATTCACAATTGAAAAGTGATAATTTTATCGTTATCCACAAAAAAAAATTTCTTGACGAGTAAACACTAAAGATATGACGACGACTATTGTTCGATCAATTCACGTTGAAATACAATAAAATTAGTCAAATCATAATGTATATTATCATCAAAAAAAAATGTTCAAATAAGCAGATAGTCGTCTTTCCAAAACAATAACAAGAATCGATCAGAAGAAGAAAACATTGACAGAACATGTCAAAAAGATAAACATAACATGATATTAATATGATAGTGATAAAAGGCAGGAAGCTAAAAGAAAAACAACAAAAAAAAAATCAATCAAATTGACTGGACAACTATTGTGTCACCTATGTGTGTATATAATCAAGTTAGCTTGATATATCTCACACATCAATTGTCAAAATTCAAATGTTTGTATGAAAATTATTGTTTCTATTGTTCTTCTTTTCTATAGTTTGTTTCTATGTGTTGAGTGATATAATTTTCACGCTCAAATACCTGGAAAAAATAGTTTTATCACTTAGTGTCACTATATATGTGTCATTATTTGATTATATAATAATGATAATAACAATAGATATTATTTTCAAATCAAATAATAACATTCGACAGAAATTCAAAGTTCATTGTCCAATCATGATGGAAAAAATAAAATGCCAAAAAAAAAATCGATTTTGATTTGGCCTTCAATGCGCCAAATGTCAATCTAGTTGATTTTTATTCTATCTGTGTCTGTGTTTTTTTTAATTGGTAACTGATATTCTTCTTCTTCTTTTATCTGCTTATTTGTCATCCTTAATCAGAGAGAAAGGTTAATTAGGCTTTTGGATAATTTTCCTTTCCTTTTTTGCTTTTCGCATTTTTTTTCTGAAAAAGATCACCAAAAGAAAAACAAAATCCTCGAAAAGAATATAGTGGAAAATGGACATCATATTTGCAAAAGTAAATGATATTTTAGTCGATTATTATTATCTTCTGTATAACTTCGAATCTTTAGATGGAAAAAAAAGTCGTCACTAGACAATAATCTTATGTCATTCTTCTGTTTTTTTCGTTCAGTATCTCATGAATTTTTCTTCATTCATTCATCCATGTCCATCAAATATTCATTCAATCATCATATTGTTTTGTCATCATATGGTTTTCTTGTACATCATTCGAATCATTTTCTTTATTTTTGAAGAAAAATTCATTTTTTTCGAATCCAGATAACTGAAAAGTTAGCATCAATGAAAAAAGTTTGGATCAGATTTTTTGTTCTTGATATTTTTTCTAGTTAATAGCGTCAAGTTAGGCAACAAAAAAAAGAAGAAGGAGAAGAAAAATGTTTGAAAATCTGATCTATCCCGTTTGACATATTCATCAATCTTTTTACATTCACATCATCCAAATAGCCATAACTTTGATGAACAAAAAAAAAAGTCATGGATATTACCATTCACAAATACGTAGATCAAAAAAAAAATCAACAGCAGAAAAAAACTTCAACCAAATCAAATGATCGACAAAATATCAAACGAATTGATTTACTTCATTTTCTATTTTCTTTTTGGTAAAATAAGCAAATAAAACTTGGTGAAATAGCAAAATAGAAATTAAACAATTAATTAGTTTTTGCCTTTTTTTCGCTCGAAACTTTGTATCATATTCAGGATTTGATGATGATGATCGAAACTTTAAAATTCATTCAACATTGATAACATTTATATAATTGATAGTGATGTTAATACGGTCAAACTAGACTAAATAAAGTAGAAAATATTCAAAGTAATTCAATCATTTTGCCAAGAAAAAGAAGTAATTTTGTCTACAGAAATCAGTGACATTTTGCTTCAATCAATCAATTGCGTTTTTAGCTTCATATAGAGTTTAGATAAGTAGGAGAAAAAAAATACAAACTCTATCTGCAAAAAAAAATACAAACTGTGAAATTGATATTCGATTAAAAGATTTCTCATTATTTTTGCAATTTTCCGCAATTTCTTCATCATCTTCTTTTGTAATAAATTTGAAAATAGATTATTATTACTGGTGACAGAAAATTTTTTAATTACGGAAAATTGTTTTTAATGAATTTTTTCGTTTTTCTAGGGTAGAATTCCGAAAAGGAAAAAAAATACTTAGCCTTTGAAAATTTTTTTTAAAATTGAAATGATAATAATGTTGATTAGATATTGATCATCAGATGAATATAAAGAAAATTGGTCGGTCTAACCTTTGTTGTGTAAAAAAATGACCAATTTGAAATGAAGTTTTTTTTTCTTCCAGAAAGAAGAAATGTCATCTCAGCCAATACTAATGAGATAGGATATAGGATGTTTGTTTGTTTGTTTGTTTGTCATATTTGAATGATGAAAAAAAATGAAACGAAAAAAAGATTTTTTTTTTATTGAATAAAATTAAATTTCATTAAAATTTCAACCAATCTTATTTTGATGAAAATTTTTTGGAAATTATCAAAATGAAACAAACAAACAAAACGATGATAAACCACCACCACCAGATGATAATGTTGACATCAATGTAGATTGGTGAATATTGATAATCAATTTCAGCATTTATTTTCTTCGACTACAGTAAAAGCGGACCGAAATCAAAAGAAGAAAAAACCTAGATAAATGTAATTACCATTTTAAATGTAAATGGAGTACCATATATATTGATAAAATTGGTTTTTTTTAATGAGAAAACATTTTTATTTTTTGTTGATTAAACTAAACTAAATTTACATTAGATCAAGATTCGATTATCATTATCATTCGCAATCAATGTGACTAAAAACAAAACAAAACAAAACAAAAAAGTTTTCATTAAAATTTTTAGCTTTTATTAACTTGCTCTATCTGTATCTACTCTGTACTGATGCTGGTTGACAATTCTTTTTTTTGATTGAAAGTTTTTTTTCCGAAACTTAATTGTTTAAGCTTAGAAACTTACCTATACTTACTTGGATTCGATAATTCGTTGGCTTTGGGTTATTTCCACACCTAAAACCTATTTTGATTTTTCAAAAGAAAAAATTTTGATTCGGATTTCTTACCCACGCATTCGTACATAGCAGGTAAATAAAAATGGATTATCAAATGACAATTGTCCAAGTATGAACAACATGTTTATCTGAATGATTTCTTTTTCTTCTTTTCATCAACAACAACGAAAACTTGATTTGATTAAACATTGAACTTGATTATTGGTATGATATGCATTTGAAAATTTGATTTACTGTATTTTTTTATTAACATTTTCTAAATTAACCGTAAAGTTTGTTTCAGTATGATTCATATATGATGAACAACATAGTTGATGAACATTTGATTATAATTTTTGATGTTTATCGAATTTAATTACTTTTTTTAAAAAAAGAAGATCCAACTGAATTTTGTTCGACCTCAAATTTCAATATGATAATTTTTTTCTTCATTTCATTTAATGATAACAGCATTTTAATATCATAATTATCACTCTAATTAGGTGTGATTTTTCAACAAAAAAAAAATCTTTAGCTAAAACTAGTGGCAACATCTTGATCATTGAAACAAGTTTATTTAGTTATCCTACCACCTTTATATTATTACAATTGTTTTAGCAAAAACGTTGCATCCGGCAATGGTAAAATCACATTTCGAAAGTAAAGATTTTTGTTTGATGAAAATCCAAATATAACCAAAATGGATAATGTTTTTTTTTTTTTGATTTAGTTAATAACGAAAAAGAAAAAAAAAGAAATTTTTGTCATTTGCTATGGATTGGGCGCCAGTTTTCTTTTTTTCCCCTGATAACAGGTTTTTTTTCTGGTGTATTCACAGTTATTGATTGTATTTTTGAATATTGTTGTTTTTTTTTGGGTTGACATCATTCTCGATGATGATGATAATCATGTGAGCCATCCATTGCCTGAAGGTTTTTTTTTCCTTTTTTTTTATATATGTAACAGAAGCCATTATGAAAATGATGATTTTTCATTGGAAATCATCATCAAAAATTTGACCAAATCAAACAAATTATTGTCATTTGGATATTATTAATCCACGCAAGAAAGAAAATTTACAAGCATTGGTTTTTAAAGGAATAAATCAACTCTTATCTTTATTTTCAAATCGATTTTTTTTGTTTGTTTATTTTGATAAATTTGATTGTTATTATTATTATTATTTTGCTAGAAAAAAAAATCAAAAAATGTTTCGATGAATAAAAAGCTAGGAGTACAAAAAAAAAGTTTAAATTCATGGATAGAGAGAAGAAAAGGAGAAATTCGTGAATTATGAATTTTCGCAATAAGAATCTACAAAACGATATATCGATTATGGTGATTTTGTTTTTTTTGGCTACCGTTAAAAAAATGTTTTTTTTTTCAAAAGAATCATTATTATACAGAAGATAGATTGTTTGTTTGGCAAATGATACTGTCCATTTATGCAAAATGTTGTTTATGTCAATGTCTGATGAATGTAATATTTATTCCATATGCATAGATATTGATAGAATATTTCGTTTCATGATAATTTGTTTGGCACACAACAACAACGAAATTCCAATGAAAGATTAAATTATAATATGATGATGATAATGATGATTTTCTTTAACTTCAATGTGTTTGTAATATAATAAATTATGCAATCTTTTATGAATTTTATAATGAAGATGATTGCTTTTGTGTTTGTGTGATTTGTATTTTAATCAATTTTTGTACGTTAATTAATTGTTTTGTTTTTTTTTTAAAAAAAAAGAAGAGTTTGCATCAGATATATTACAGATTATGAGTGTGTGTAAAGTGTTGTAAAGAATTGAATAATCAATTGATTTTTTGGTCTCGCATTCATAGTATTGTGTTTTCATTGTGTTTTATAATTTGCGAATGATAATGTGCACGATATTATTAAAATCGTATGAAAAAAAAGATGAAGAATAAATAAATTACATAATGAAAGGTGTTTGGGTAAAAATTAAATATATATTTTGCTGTGTATGATGATGAATTTTTTCATCGAAACGAAAAAAAAAATACATTCATCAATTGATGGATACAAAGAGTACAGATTGAGTGAGAGAGAGAGAGAAGAAAATATTTATGGGGAAGAATTTTTTGTCATCCCAAATTAGTATCATCATCTTTACCATCATCATCGAAAAAAATATTCATGCCTGTAATTGACTACAGTTAATGAAAAAAAAAGGATGAAATGAAAAAATTGACACAGGTAAATTGTACAAATAAGATAGAAAAAGAAGAAGAGATTTTGTTTTTTTCTCCTAAATCTCTCTTTGATGATCAAATTGAAAGTTAAATAGCTTGATTTGAGAAATAAAAAATAAGCGGTAAAGCAAATGAGAGAGATAGCAAGAAAAAGAAGAACGGAACAAGAAAATGAATGATTGATTGAATCGAAACGAAACGAATCAAACAAAACGAATAATAAGAAGAAAAAGATGCTGAGATTCGAAAAAGATTTGTGTCTAATTATAATTATAATAATAATAAAAATAATTAGATGTGTCATCAAGCAATAGGAAAATATATTAACTACAGATTCATACAAAAAGAAAAAAATGAATGTTTGACAAAGATGACGATGATGAAGAAAGAGAGAAATAGAAAGAAAATGCAGGACGATTGGTTCAATTGATTTTTCTAAAAAGATGGATTCTAGTTATCACTAAGATGCTTGTGTATGTGTGTGTGCGAATGGATTTATGTTTTTTTTTCTTCTTCTTTCGTTTAAATTTGTCAATGTAGTGGATTTTCGACTTATTTATCTAAACTATCTATATAAGTTATATTGTCCACCAGGTATTTATGATTATTATTTCATTCCAGGTGGTGGTGGTGGAGGTGATCAAACATTGATGGATGTATTTGTGTGTGTGTATTATGAACAGTAATAATCGAATGGCATATGATGATGATTCTAATGATGATAATAGTGATGAATATGAATGAACTGAACTGAACTTTTTGAACTTTTTTGAACTTTTTTGAACTTTTATTGAACTTTTTTTTTCCATTTCTTGTGAAATAGCGATCAAAGTGAATGAAAAAAAAATGATGATGATAAGTTGGCATGGGTAAACGATGATAGACGATGATTATGCTCGTTTGGATGAATTGTTGTTTCGTTTTGATTATTAATTTTTTTAAGAAAGAAAAATTGATAAACCAACATGACATTTATGATGTTTTTGTACTAATTTAAGCTCATTTGATATTATATAATATAATGATGATGATCAATACGATAATTTTGTTTTGTTTGTTATTTGCAAATGTTGAATAAGAGATAGAATCGATAATGGAATTGAATTGATGATAATTAGTGGAAAGTAGTAATGATGATGATGATATTGTTGTTTTGTTCACTTTGTAATGAGATGAAGATATGTTTTCTGACAACAACAACAACAACAACTAAATTGAATCGATTAATAGAATGATTTTCTATTTTTTTTTCTAATCATCAACATTAGCCATTTGATTTGATTCAATTGAATGATCAGATTCAGAATCTAAATCAAATTCTTCATCTCTACCCATATTGCTTGAATCATCTGAATGATATGAATCTGATTGAAAAGATAATTGTGATGCATTGACATTTTGAGAATCATTTAATATTGAATGCATTACAGCTGCTGCTGCTGATGCTACTGCACTTGAATCAACATTTTCCAACCCGGACATTAAATTTGGATCCATTTCTTGATTATCATTCGAATCTTTATACCTATTAAAAGATTGAATTGAAATGAGAAAAACATTAAACAAATTAAATTTATTTGTTTACAAAGAAAGAAAAAAATAAGCTTAAAATGTTATATCTAATACATACCATATTCCACGCATTTCAGCTCGACGATTTTTCATTAATTGTTTATACTCGGAAATACGAAGTTTTTTACCATCAACAATACATGTTCGTTTTGGTCTAGGTCTATACCTATAATCGGGATGTTGTTCCATATGTACTTTAGAAAGACGTGATTGTTCCTCATAATATGGTTGTTTTTCTGTATTGGTCATTGCTTTCCATCGTGCACCTTGATTAAATGAAAAGGAATTTTGTTAAATTCAATTAATTTTAAAACAAACAAACAAAACAAAACATCATTAAAAATGTTTGGAAAATAAACATACCTAAAATTTTTGAAATATTTGAATTATGCATATCAGGACATGCTTTTAGGATTTTTCTTCTTTCATCTTTTGCCCAAACCATAAATGCATTCATTGGTCGTTTAACATGTGGTTTGCCTTCACCATCTTTTTTAACTTGTCGAATAATTTTGGCTCCAAGTAATTTACCTGTTTCGTTTCAAAAGTGTTAAAGTGAAAGAAAATCCATAAAAAGATAAGAAAATCCATTTGCGTTATATCACTTTAACAACTTACTTTGACATGTTACAATCGATTCGTTTGATTTATTTGAATTATTATTCATTGAACTATTTGAATGTGATGCTTTTGTACGAATACTGTTTGGACTGAATGTCGGATCGTTTGATTCTTTTTTATTTGAATGATGATGATGATGACGATTTGTGTTTGATGACGAATGATGATCTTTAGATTGAAAATTTTCCGATTGATTTGCTGTATTGTTTTGAGCACCAGGAAGATAAAGATTAATTGCATCATTAATTGACGATGGATTTGGAGACGAACTGGAAGTGTTACGGCTATTTGCTACTGAATTGACTGAACAATTTAATTGATTATTGAACATTGATTCCATTGAACCTGTTGGTGAAAATCCTGGAAGCTGTCCAAATGTTGATGGATTAAGCAAACCAGGTAAAAGATTTTTTTCACGTAAATGTTGAACAAATGATGATGATGGAAGTAATGATGAAAGATTCGATTGATTTGTCATAATTTGAGCATTTTGTTGTGATTGATTAGTTGATGATGAAGATTGTTGTTGTTGTTGCTGATGACTTGAAAATTGTGCTAAAGCATTCCAATAATTTCCAGTTATAAAAGCTTGTAATGATTGTTGATCTGTATGAGGTAGTGATGGAAATGCTGACATCGGTGACGATGGTGTATGTGTCGTTGAATTTGTTGTGGATGATGGTGAACTAATCACTGGCCTACAAGAAGTATTATTGCCCGATCCACCACCAAATGATCCTCGATGATGTTTGTCTATAGGATTTTAAGGTAAGAAAAAAATCAATAAATTGAATCAATGATTTTCATTATTACCATGTATGAAGGTTTCATTCGATCCATTATTTGATGATGATGATGATTTAGGTTTACTCAAGTTCAATGGTGTTGATGTTGTTTCATTACTGGTTGATGTTTCTTCTTCTTTGGATAATCTATTAAATTTTGAGGAAAATATTATAATAAGGATATTAAATCAAATAAAATGACAAAGAAAACTTACTTGTTATTATTGATATTTGTACGTGTCATTGGAGGACTACTGGATACTGGAACAGAAGATGGATTCATCGAAAACATTGGATTTTCCGATTCATTAGTATTGGATACTTGAGCAGCAGCAGCAGCAGCTAAAGCAGCCGCAGCTAATGGATTTGTTGAATTTGCCAATGAATTTCCATTTAGGAATGATGGATTATTAATAAATGGTGATAAACCATTTAGATTGAATAACATTAATTGAGCAGCAGCCGCTGATGATGGTAATCCTGCTGCGGAAGCGGCTGCCATAGCAGCTGTTGCCTGACAAATGTTCGGTAACGATGCTGCCGATTGTAGATAATGACTATTGATACGTTGCTATATACATGAAACAAAAAACAAAAAATCAATTAACAAAAAAAAGGTGAATGAAAAATCAAGATTAGTTACTATTCATAGAATGAAAAATGTAATCCAAACAATGAGACTATACATCAATTCGAATGTTAAAACATAAAAAAAAAAATTTTACCTGAAGATCAGAAATTTTTTGCTGTTGTGTTTCTAAAATATTGGCCTGTTGTTCCTTTTGTTTATCATTATTTAGATTACTGTTATTATTATCACCACCGCCACCACTACTATTATTAGCCATTTCATCTTCGGATGTCTGCGGTCATAGAATGAAAAAAAAAGAAAATTAGAAAAAAATACCGATTAATATCATCAATATATTCAATTCAGTATGAAAATAATGAATAAACAGTGGCAATTGAGAGAAAGAGAAAAAAACTTGTTCAAAAAGGCAAAATAAAATAATCATAATTTAAAGGATCAATGAATTCTAAGAAAACAAGAATCTTTGATTCTTGTCACTGTCGGCATATATTTTAATTATTATTTGAAATGAATTTGAAAATTCGCATATTTTCGCATGCTAGCTATTCATTTTCAATGAAAATATAATAATAATAATAATTTATTTTACAGGGGAAAACAAAATGATCTTTACTCTGACAACAACAACAACTCTCGACAAAAAAAAAAGATTAAATAAATTATTAGAATAACGAGGCTAAAATTTTATGTAAAAACTTTATTCATTCATAAATTTATTCATTATTGGCTTCTAGCTTACTTCTTAGCGTATCTTCTTCTTTGTGGAAAAACACTTTATCGTTGATTTAAGTTGAAATGTCACATACACAGAAAAAAATATCACACCAATGGAGATTTTTTTTTTTTTGCTTAAATAAATGTGATATAGAAAAGATAAATTCATTTAGATTGAGAAAAATTTTTTGCAGAAGATAGATGAACAGACAGTTTAATTTTGTCGAAAAAGAAAATTTAAATTTTATTGATTTTGTTATAATTCAAACACACACACACATGCAGAGTTTGTGCGAAATTAATGAATGAATGAAAAACAAGAACAAAGTGTCAAGCAGTAAATTACAACCAAAACTTAATGATTATGATTTTGGGATTTTATTTTAGCAACCGAACTGAAAGAGAGAAGAAGAATATCCAAATAAATGTCTAAGGAAAAGAACATGACAGTTTTTTTTGTTG